TCCAGTTTTTCTTCCTTTGCTCAGGAGTCTCTAACAAGGGTTGCTACCATTTGGGCATCCTTCCCAGAACCCCCCAGGAAATATTTTTTGAAGAAGACTTCCATGGCATTTGCAACAACAACAAAAATAAGCAAATGTTTTCTTTTTATCTGTTGCCTTGCCTTACTTTTTCCTTTCACTTTTCCTCCTCTTTAATTTACTTTGTCCTTGTCTTTAAATGCCAGAGAGTCCATTTGAAATGTTTCCTTTTAAAAGGACCAGAAGAGTGAAGAGCAAGAAGGGATAAAAGATAAAAATAGAGAAAAGATAAAGGAAAGGGTCGAAGTAAAAGAGAAGACTGTCAAAAAGAAGGAACACAAAGAGAGACACAGAAGTAATCGTAATATAAACTACTGAACTTTCACCCACACCACAAAATCCCAACCTCTGGGGAGCTGGGTTGAGTAGGTCCTTGGGGGCTTGGAACTCTGCCAGTCTGAACAGACACAAGACCCCACCTCCATCAAATAGAGAAGAAAAACAAAAATACTATAAATCAAACCAAACCAAACATAAAACCTGAAAGGATAAAATTGGGGGAAAAAAAAACAATAGGGGAAGAGAAAGTAGCAAAAATGAAGCCCTTATTATTAAAGAAGACAACAATGAAAAATTTCATTTACACAAAAAAAATGAAGAAAAAAGCGTCTGAGAGAGAACACTTTTTTACATATCTGAGATGTTAATCTCTGACAATGGTCTGAGATGCTAATCACAATACTGATATAGCTGTATAAGATAGAAACTGGAACTCTCTGCTGACTTCTTTGCCCTCAGACTCCACAGTGTTGGAAGCCTGAATCTCTCCTCAGCTCGTTTAGACACACCTTGACCTTTCCAAACCATATCCATTTGTTAAGCAGTGAGTTTCCCAGGAAAGTGTGTGTTGCTAGGCTTTCTTCAGAAGTGGCTGCCTTCTTTTCAGGCATGCCAGAACCACCCTCACTCTAGGACCCTGAGGGCTGAGCCTGCAAGGCAGCTCTCCCACAATTGTTGCACCTAGCCTGCAGCTGAACAATGAAAGCTCTGTTCCACCACAGCATGTCAATCCTGACCTCTGGACACCATTCAAAGTCCCTTTCTCACTTTCCCAAAGTCTCCTAAGGTAACTCACCTTTAATCTAAGGATGCGTGTGTGTGTGCGTATGTGTGGAGTGAGTGTGTCTGTGGGCACACGTGTGCACAAGTGTGTGTGTATCTTGAGTAGTTTAGGGCAATTGATACAGGAGATTTAAATTTTAAATTAAAAATATTGTTTTGGGACATGGGTTATAGCAATTATTGTTTATTATGGGTCATGGGTTATGGTAATTATTGTTGTTTAAGGTAAGGGTTAGTATGGTTCTTGCTTTTATATATAAGGATGTGATTTTGTAAATAGCAAAACAACAGTCTTAAAGAGGCTACTCTCACTGTTCTCCTGAATCACTGGCCTTCTGACAAAGTTTGGGGAACATATCCATATCTCTGCATACTGGCTGCAGTGACAGGTTACTAGACTCCCTTTGTTCAGTGATACACTATGGTTGAAGCCAAAATTGCTCACTCTTCTGCCAGGTGGGATGAGGACCCAGAATTGGATATTCCTAGGTGCAGGAAAGCTGGGATTTTTTGTCTTTCTTGGCCCTCTCCATAGGATGAGAGATCCTGTGTTTTGCAGCTTATTGATCATCTCCTGGGTAGAGGAAGGGTCTCTCTGATCTATTCTGCTCCAGGCTTCTTCATTCTAGTCCTTTCTGTAACTGTCCTCCATTCTCTCTTTTCCTTTTTCTCATCTTTATCTTTGTAGTTTGCCTTAGTGGAGTTGCTGAGCACTTTGATTTCTTCTCTTTTTGATCTACACCCTAATTTCAACTACTCTGGACTTGCTTCAGTCCAGTTTTCCTCCTTCTGGACAAGAGTTTCTGATGAAAGCTGCCTCTGCTCTAGTTGGCCATCTTGCCCTCCCCCCCCCAAGCTTCTTTAAGACATTTTGTTGTTCTTGTTGTTGTCCTTTTTTGGCCAGGGCTGGGTTTGAACCCGCCACCTCCAGCATATGGGACCAGCACCCTACTCCTTTGAGCCACAGGTACCACCCTCTTTAAGACAGTTTTTTGGAATTTGTTCCTAAGGAGTTTATGTATTTATACCCTTTAAGAGTGAGAGTAGCCTCTCCAAGATTGTCATGTTCTACCATTTCCAACATCACAGTTTTATACATAAGAGTAAGAAAAGTAAGAGCAGTACTAATCCTTATCTTAAACAATAGTAATTGCCATAACTCATGACCCACAATAAACAATAATTGACATAACCCACAATGATAACATTCCAGTTCAAAGGTTAAGCTCTTAAGTCAGTCATGCTAAACTATTCCGACATACTCCTTCAGATTAAGGCTGAATTTACAAAATGACAGAAATGGGACACACGAGGTGAAGGTCACTTAGGACCTAAATGGACCAGACCAGCTGTTTCATGTTGGCCCTAGCCCTAGCCTGATTTCATTTTTACCACATATATTCTCAAACAGGCCATCAGTCAGGTCTGGTTATACTGTCTGGAGGCATATGGAGCACAGGCTATTGATGCAGATCAGCTTTAATAATTTGCTAAGCTGTGTTGAACCCTCCTATGTATCAATATGTCAGAATTCAACCAGAAATGTAGAGACAGAATTTGGAGGATTCTGCCTCTTTCTTTAGCCCTTTGTGTATTTTTATCTTTCTAGGAGCCACAGTTTCTTCCTATTCTTATTTTATAATTTCCATACTAGAGATAGGTCATTTTTAAGTGTCTTATGAGTACACTCAAATTGTGTTATACTAATTACAATTGGCCCCATCTAATTGTCACAAAAATTGAATTCTCTATAACTTTTCAATGACCATTATTCCCAATCAACTTTGCAGCTTTTTCTAATTTTTTGGCACTGTTTGGTAGCTGGTTTTTTGGGTCATGTCCAGGAGGGTGAGAATAACCGGATCCAACTTTTTACTATCTGAATCAAATGTATAACTCTGTGCTTAAGATTCCAATTCTCTATTGAAACTGGCCATATATTCCTATATATTTTTCTTTCTTCATACACATAAATGCATACACAGATAAAATCATAACTTTTTAAAATATATAGTATATGTAGTGATGTTCTTTTTTAATACTGATATTAATTATCTATGTCATCTCTCTTCTTAAACAGTTTAAGTAGGGGTTATTTCATAAAATCCTTCCTATTGCATGATTTTGTATTGGGATTTATTTTTAACTATATAATTATGGTTACACAATATCATGCCTCTGTCTCTGATTAGACATTAAAAGTCCATTTTCTGGTTCTTATCGCTTGCCCATCAACTTCATGGTCAGCCCAGATAATACACCTCATGTTGTTTTCTGGCTTTAATCACCTGTCATGTTCTGACATGATGACTTTAAAACAGTGGTTCTCAACCTTCCTAATGCTATGACCCTTTAATACAGTTCCTCATGTTGTGGTGACTCCCAACTATAAAATTATTTTCATTGCTACTTCATAATTGTAATTTTGCTACTCTTACGAATTGTAATGTAAATATATGATATGCAGGATGCTCTTAGGCAACCCCTGTGAAAGGGTCATTTGACCCCTAAAGGGGTTACGACCCACAGGTTGAGAACTGCTGCTTTAAAACATAGTTATTCTAAAATAGCAGGAAAAAATACTTATTTACTAATTCTTTTCCATATTGCTATATCTGTACTATGTTTTCAGCCACATACATACACATAATCTTTTTTATTCTTTTAGCTATACAGTACTTAAATTTCAATTGATGGAGAACATTATAGATATTCTCAGAATTCTTCTTGTAATGATTAAAGGGCTCAAAAAGATATCCTTCTTTATTTATCAAAGTTAAATGATATGAAATGTACTTCCACTCTATTGAGCTACCAGTCATTTTCAATAGCTTCTCATTTCATTTATTTTTAAACTATGGTTGTGTCTGTGTCTCCAGCTTTTGTCCTGTCATTTCTTCAATTCACTCAGTATACATAACCTTTCAACAGGTGCATATTCAACCCCCCAACCCGCTCTCATATAATTCGGTCATTTCTCAAACTTTATATCTCAGTCTAAACATCAATTACACAAAGAGTTTTTTTATTACTTTATTTGATTACAATATCTTAGTCTTTCATAAAATTCTCTCTTGGTGTACTTTGTTTTCTTCATGGTATTTTTGTTGATCTGTTTTTATATAGGAAGTTTATATAGAAAGTACCTATCATTTGGGCCAGCTGACAGGGTACATGTGCCAATTGGTGAAATCTGCGTGCTGTTTTCCTGTTTGCTATCATTTCCCCTTCTATAATATACAAACTATGAGTGGACAAAATTTATTTCCTTTGTTTTTGACACTATATTCCCATCATCCATCATAGTACCTACACATGTGTACACTGAATTAATATTTGTTAACTAAATGAATTGATTTAATGGGAAAGTGAAATAAATGTGTTTTTCTTTGATTCTGTATCCTACAAGGGTACAAATGAATCTTTCTAAAAGCAGAGTATGAATGTCTTAGCTCAATAACTAAGAAAATGACATGAAGGCTACATAAACCAGTTTGATGAGAGTATTTCAAAATGTATATGAAAATACCAGACTGTATCCCTGTGATTGCATTAAGGTACACAGCTATGATTTAATTTTAAAAAATAGAATATTCTATGTGCAAAGCTATGGAATTTTGGCTTGTTATGTTTTAAACCAGAGAATTTCATAGATTGATTACTTTTTATATTTTTTCATTCTTCTTCATAAATAAGTATAGTTGTGCATATAAGTGGCATATCAAAACATTGTTATAAGGTATGCTCAACATAAAAAGTATTAAACATAGAATTCCATAAGAGTAATAATGCTTCAAGTCATTACTTGCTTTTATTTTCTTATATAATGGCTTTCTGTTCCATTTTTTTTTTTATACTAGTATCCAGAAGCAATGAGTTTGGAGGGACTTTCAGTTACTATAGCTCAACTGCTCGGCCTTAATATAGGATTAACATATGATGACATCACAAAGTGTTCTTGTCCACGAGCTACATGCATAATGAATCATAAAGCAGTGTAAGAAAATTTTCTTAATTGATTTTACATATATTTTTCTTAGATTATTTCCAAGATATGAAGTTTTTAAACTTAAATATTCAACTTCATATCAGAAATGGAAAAGATATGTTAGGTTTGAAGAGATATCACAATTTTTTTGTAAAGAAGCACAAATCTGCAAGGTGTGATATATTTTATTATTTAAATTTTTTACTCAAGAGTATTAGTGGGAGAAATTTAAAGTTAATAAAAATTCTGAAGGATTGGGTGGCACCTGTGGCTCAGAGGGTAGGGTGCCGACACCATGTATCAAGAGTGGTGGGTTTGACCCTGGCCCCGGCCAAATTGCAACAAAAAAATATCCAGGCATTGTGGCGGGCACCTGTAGTCCCAGCTACTTGGGAGGCTGAGGCAAGAGAATTGCATAAGTCCAGGAGTTAGAGGTTGCTGTGAGCTGTGACACCATGGCACCCTACTGAGGGCAATAAAGTAAGACTATAGTCTGGAACTTCTGATTACTGTTCTTTGAAAAAAGAAATAAGATTTAAAGAGGAAAAACTGATGTCTTTATTTTCAGATGTTATAACTAACCACCCAGAAATATCAACAGAATCAATGTACTACTAGAACAACAACAATAATAATAACATCAAACATTTATTAAGATATATGAGTCATAAAAAACACCCCAACAGCTAGCAGTAAGCACACAGATGATCTGCTATGAAATTGTTATTTTTCAGACATATTTATAAATTCAGTATAATCCAAACCTATATTTTATATTATATTTTTTAAGAAACTTGATAAATCCCATAGGAAGTGATAAAATGGAGACGATAAATTTAGGTAACCTTTTTTTGAGTATGAGCTGAAATTTATGGTAAAAGGAAGGATCTTATAGATGAGAGACACTATTACTTATAGAATGATAGAAATAAAGAAAAAGGAGGAAAGATGATGTTGGATATAAGACTTAACAATTAACAGCGTAAATTGTAGTGGATAGGGTCTAGTACATAAGTAGAAAAAGGGTTTTATTCAAACTGGATGTATTACTCTACAAGTAAACATGTAGAGAGGTACATAGTCTAATAATTAATGGAGATGTAAGGGTATAGAAACATTTTTTCTAATAGGAAACTAAGAACAAGGAATACAAGAAAAAAACATGAAATAATTATCTGAGACTAGGAATTAGAAGTGGTTTAAGAAATATGATAGGATTGTTGAGCATTTTGAAAATGTATTAAGAATTTGTGATTGCAAACTGACTATGAATTCAAACGAAAATTCAAATTTGCATAGCTTTTTGTTTCGATTCATTGACTTTCAGATTCTGAGTTGCATATACAAAGAAAGAGAGGAATTGATGTTTTGCTGAGTGAATGTCCATGATGCTTCCAAAGAAGGATGTAGGGGAATCTGTATCCTTCTGCATTAAGTAGATTTCAATTTTCCCTCTCCCCTAAACTTGGAGCTTTAGATAAGATAATATAAATATTTTGAGGCAACTACCCCAGCTCACCCTACTTCTTTGTAGTTAGTCCAGTATAGTAATCTTTCTCACAAAAAAAGTTAATAATTTTATATTCTTTTAAAATTATCACTTGCTTATTAAACTTCTGTATGTTTAGGAATATATATCTATAGACTGATCAACACAGACATATCACATTCATATTCTTTCTCATGATGCTCATCTTTTAAGCAGAGATTTGAAAAATAAATTGCATTTTTCTCAACTTAAACAAAAGTTCCATGTTCTAAATATTGATGTTAATGTAATTATTTTATTTTTATTTTATTATTATTATTATTATTATTTTGGCCAGGGCTGTGTTTGAACCTGCCACCTCTGGTATATGGGGTCAGGGCCCTACTCCTTTGAGCCACAGGCACCACCCATGATGTTAATTTTTTACTTGAAAATTATGTGGTCTAAGTAGTAGATAACTTCTAAGTGCATACCTATTTATAAACTAATTTTGTATAAAGAGATATTTGTACTCAAATTATGTAGCTTTTTGCATGAGACTCTCTTTCAAAAGCATACGGATACTGATACTTCTTGTAAAATAAAGCAGTTTAACATAATAAAAAATTTTGATTAAATGGCATTTTCCCCTATGATCTTCTCTTCATTTTTCACTGTTTGTTCCACATAAATGGTGGTATCAGTAAAAGCTAATGTATTTCTCTATGTCCTTAAAGTCTTCCAAATTTGAAACCTTGGAAGTTATGCTTTTCTTTCTTTGGAGGCTCAAGACATGACCCAGGACCTCTATCATCTCATATTAAGCTGTTTAAGTATTATTATTTTAGACATAATTGTCTATAGTGGCACTGTAAGGTAGAAATAAAACATTAAAAATGGAAAATAATCAGATGAAACAATCATGGTAATATATTTCACTTAAATTAATATATTAAAATAGTGTCATTTCAATATGTAACCAACTTAAAATTGTTGGTTATGTTATATTTTTGTGTACACATTTGGGTTCACATTGAGTATGGAGTATGAGAGAAAATAAAAGAACCAGCATCACATATCTATTAAATGAATGAAGTTTTAGGAAACTGTGAGCAAAGGGTGGAACAGACATTGTTTGAAATCACTGGGTAAATAGTGGACATGTTATGTTTGAAAACTTATTTACATATATAAGACAGCTTTCAGATATTTCACCAGAAATACAGCTGCAAATGTATCCACACTAATTTTCCTGGGTCTTGTCTTGTACTATAAAATTTAGATAATATAACATTAAATTTCAAGAATTTAAATAAGGAAGGTTATTATTACATGAAGCAAAAGTACTATGTAGAAAAACAAATAATGAAAGTGGAAAAAGAATGTGCAAGGGCACAATTTATCAGGAAAGATCTCTCTAAAAGGAACTGTTGGAACACTCGTATGACTGAAATGAAGGAAGACAACCTGGGATATATGATAGAAGAGCATTTCAGGTAAAGGGAATGATAGATAGATACATAGGTAGATATGTAAGTGATATATACAGAGAATTATATAGAGAAATATACTGATGCATACAGACATTGATTTAACTATATAAGACTACAACTTATAGCATTGCTGTGCTTGAAAGATACATATTCCATGCATTTTTAAGAGAAAGTTGAAATAATAAATATTAAAATTTAATTATAATTGATTCCTTTTCTGCTAAGGTATACTTTTTTGAACTGGACATCTTGTAATTTGCAAATTGTATGGGGCATTGTTTAGATGTGGGTTTATTACCAAGTCTTATTTACTTGAGGAATACTATTTCATTTCAGGAGTTCCAGTGGTATAAAAATTTTTAGCAACTGTAGCATGCGTGACTATAGAATGTTTGTTTCAAAACTTGAGGGTAAATGCCTTCAGAACCTTTCAGATTTGACAGGATTATATCAAACTCAACCAGTATGTGGAAATGGAATTTTGGAACATAATGAAGAATGTGACTGTGGTAATGGAGAGGTGGGTAACAAAGATTGAAATTTGAGCACAATTTTTATGTTTCCAATAAAACATAAAACATTTTTAATGGTATATATAGAATAACACATGCAACTATGTCTTCAATAAGTGAAATATGATAATGAGGATGAGTTAACACATACAAAGCACTTTCCCTCTTAAAGACAAATGTATCATGAATATTAAGTTTATATAACTGTTCCCAATCATACCAGCAGATAGATTTTGAATGCATAGGCTAAATGAAGTCCTTTCTATCCACAATTCAGTTTCTAATTCATTTGTCCTCATTTTCTATTTTCCCTATAAACTTCTGCTAAACTTATTCCATATTTCCCCCCATCTCTTGTGATTGGAGACATTTCTAAACATTATAATGTATCTCCTTTAATCATTCTCAAACATTCCTACATTTACCAGGTTTTGATGATCAATTTTTTCCTATTTGTTCATTTCTTAATATACTTATGCACTTGATTGTTATTTAATTAACTGAATTCAAAGCACATTATTCTCAACAGATAGGACTATAAATTTAGTCTATTACAAATGTCATTATTCTATAATATTTAACAATTCACCTTGATTTCAATAAAATAAATGTCTTCATGATTTATCCTCAAACAGTTATATGAATTCCTTATCCCTAGAAAAGCTCCTGACCACCACATTTTTATATATAATTAAATTCTTTCATGTAATGTTAGTCATCCTACATTCCATAAAGTATTGAAATCTATATGTTTGAGTCTAAGTGTATCTATATGTGTGTGTACCTATATATATGTACACACACAGAGATTGTACATATACATATCTATTAGATATATTTCATATGTGTGTATATACATGCACACAAACATTTGCAATTATCCCAATGCTATCTTAGTTTTTTTATTATTATTAAATCATCACTATGTACATTAATGGAGTCATGGGGTACAATGTGCTGGTTTTATATACAATTTGAAACATTTTCATCAAACTGGATAACATAGGCTTCATGGCATTTTCTTAGTTATTGTGTTAAGACAGCTAAATTATACATTTAGTAAGTTTCACATGTACCCTTGTAAGATGCACCATAGGTGTGATCCCACCAATCACCCTCCCTCCACCTAACTTCCTCCCTCCCCTCGCCTCCCTTTCCCCTTTCCCCATATTCTTGGGATGTATTTGGGTTATAGCTTTCATATGAAAGCTATAGATTAGTTTCATAGCTAATGAAACTTCAATATGATTACATTGGATACCTTTTCTTCCATTCTTGAGATACTTTGCTGAGAAAGATATGTTCCAGCTCCATGCATATAAACATGAACAAGATAAACTCTCCATCATTCTTTAAGGCTGCATAATATTCCATGGTGTACATATACCACAATTTATTGATCCATTAGTGGGTTGATGGGCACTTGGACTTTTTCCATGACTTAGCAATTATGAATTGGGCAGCAATAAACATTCTGGTACAAATATCTTTGTTATAATGTGATTTTTGGTCTTCTGTATATATACCTAGTAGAGGAAGTGTAGGATTGAATGGCAGGTCTATTTTTAGTTCTCTAAGTGTTC